TGGCTATATCGAAAAAGACCGCGATGGTCTTATGACGACGAGGATAGAAACCGCTGAGGATATATTCCACAATGCGGTGAACTTGTTGGGGACATGAGTGTTTGGCTCGGAAGCCGAATTGATGGGGAATGATAAGAGGGTCGCCGTCTGTGGGAAACAGGTAGCGCCTCATACGACTTTGGATGACTCTTTCGAAGAGCTTGCCCATTGCCTTGAGGAGGCTAATGGGGCGATGGCTGGAGGGGAGGTTGAGAGGCTTGCCTGGCTTGGGAATTCAAATCACAGTAGCCTCTTTCCACGTAGTGGGAAAATAACTAAGGTTGAAGCAGGCGTTGAAGATAATAGATAAAAAGGTTAACACCTGCTCGGGAAAGTGTTTTAGGGCTTGGTTGGAGATGCCATCCGCGCCCGGAGCCTTTTTAGGCTTAAGTCCTTTGATGAGGGATGAGATCTCATCATTGGACACAGAGATAGGTTCAGAGGCCGTGGGGGGTGAGCTCCGGCGGCGGACCTCATCCTCCACTGCCTGGACGTGTGAGGGGTCGACGGGTTGAGAACTGGGAGAGCATTGAGCGGCAATGCTATCTGCAAAGCACTCAGCCTTTTCCTCGTCCTCGAAGGCAACCGTGCCGTCGGGACGGGAGAGTGGGTGATAGCGTCTATGCGGAGGGCTCTAGCCATCTGATAGTACGCTGTGTGAGATGGAGAGATATTCTCCATGAGCTTACTCTTTTCGAGATCTTGAAATTCAGAGAGGCAGAAGCGGAGTTTTCGTTGAAGACGATTGGCCGCGCGCCTATATTCGGGGGTGGGATATTTTGCTGCTCTCCGGAAAGCAGCTTTTTTGGCTTTTATTAGGTTGCTAATATGTAGGGGAAGCCCACTATTGTTAGCAACCGGGACGACCCTTTCGTTCTCCTTAAGGGAGGATTTAATAAGGGTGGAGAGTGAGTCGACCGCGGTGTCGATTTTTTCGGGACTATCTAAGTCCGACGATAGGGAGATGGTAGAGTCCTGTGAGTCCAGAGCTTTAGCTAGGGACTCTTTGAATCCCTTCCAGTTAGTGAAGGTTTTCGTGTGTGTTGGGGGAGGTGGCTGATGGCCAAGAATGAGGGAGACCGGTCGGTGATCTGATCCTAGATCGTCTAGTGTCTCGATTGCTCCGAGGTTGAGAGAAACTCCTTGGAGTAACGCAAAATCTAACACATCGGGGGGCGTGATCGGTGTTATCGGGGAAGTGAGTAACACCGAGAGGACTATGGACGGTAATATCAAGAGACTGCGTGATATCGAGCAGTATCTTGCCACTAGGGGACGTAGTGCGGCATGTCCATTCAGTATGCTTGGAGTTAAAATCTCCAAACATAATGACTGAGTTGCCTAAAGATAAAATGGCCTCAAAATCCTTTTTGAGGGAATAGGTTCCTGAAGGGATGTAACAGGAGGCTATGAGGATGGACTGATGTCCAGTCATAGCTAGCCTGCATACCGTGGCTTCCATGTTGGTAAGCTGCGGAGTAGAAATGGGCGAGCAATGAAGTGTCTTCTTGTAATAGATGGCCGTTCCGCCGCCTCGGCGGTCGGGTCTGTCGTTACGAAGAAGAGAGAAGTTTTTAATAGAAAGGCCTCTAGTGTCCTTATCTTTGAGATTGGTTTCCTGTAGGAGGAGGAAATCGACTTCACGATTCCGAAGAAAGAGCTTGAGCTCTGGGAGGTTATTTCGCAAGCCGCGAATATTAAATGATACAAGCGATAAACCCTTAGGTTTGATACGACCGTGAGATCTAGGTGGGTTAATTCTCTCAGTCATTGAAGTTAAGTTAATTAAGTTAACCTAACTTACAACGCTAACAAAAGGTTATTGTGCTCCGCAAGAACGAGGAGACGTTCTTGGGGGGACTTGGCCGCGCGCAGTTTGCGTGATACAACTGTTATTTCCCTAACGTCGATATTCCTAATAGCGGAATATAGCGTGTTGTAGTCGTCGATTGTGGGCTCTGCTTCATGAGCGTACGAGGTTGTCCTCGGTGGGTCTGCCTTTTTGGGCCCCCAGGGAAAGACTGGAGGCTGCATTGGCTTGGAGAAGCCCGGAGGGGGCCGAATTATGCCCTGAGGGGGCCTAGGGGGACCCTGAGGGGGCCTAGGGGGACCCTGAGAGGGTCGAGAGAAGCCCTGGATAGGCTGAGAGGGGCCCTGACGGGGCCGTTGATGGAGGGCTGGGAAAGTGCGGTCATTCACCGGCGGTGGAGCTTTCCTACTGGGGCGAGGTTGAGGTGCGCGTGGGCAACCCTTGTAGTTCGCCGGGTGTCCTGTCTGGTTGCACAGGACACAGGCGGGCGGGGATTCGGCGTCTTTGGGCCGGGGACACTCTTTAGTGTTGTGTGGCTCCAGGCACTTCACACACCTGGGTGGGGCGGAGCAGTTGGCCGCCGCGTGACCATAAAGTTGGCAGCGGTGGCACTGCGCCGGGAAACCGGGCCTATGTGGGGGCTCTACCTTCACCCTTGACAGGCCGCACACTGTGCGCACCTGCCGGAAGATGGCTTTAGCCTCCGGCACGTTGGACAAGATTACGAGGGCAAGGTTGTATCTCTTGCCCGTACGGTTGTGCATTTTGTGCACTGCTTCCACTGGGAAACCTTGGGACTTAAGGTCCTCGAGGATTTCCTCATTGGAGAACTCAAAGGGGACGCCTCGGATGACGGCCCTGACTTTACGCTCTTCAGGGAGAGCGTAAGTGTGGTATGAGATGCGCTCGGCTGTGAATAGCCGGGTGATTGCGCGGAAGTCCTCGATCGAGGTAGGGATTATTTTGATTGCCTCCCCGAGGTTGACTGCATGATCGTATTTGATGCCTGCGTCGTAGCAGGTCTTAGACAGTTGGGTGAACTTTGCCTTGTCTCTTAGGAAGACAGGGGGCGGGACTTGCTTCTTCGCCAGCACTGGAGCACAACGAGAGGCTGGCTTAGATGGAGTGGGTATGTCTAGTGACATCAGTGGGACGGGTGCAGCGTCAAGGGCTGCGGAGGTTGAAGGAGCGGCAGGGGCCGCTGAAGTAGGGGGGTGCGTTTCAACGCGGCGCGCTTTCCGTTGCGCTTGGAGGTGACGGTGGTGAAGTTTGACTCACCGGTTCCGTCAGAGTCAGAGGACTCCGATGAACCGGAGCCTAGGGTAGTGGCGGGCCTCTTCCGGGAGGTAGACGCCGAGGATTCGGAGCATGCGTACTCCATTTCTAAGGGGGCAGATTCGAGTTGGGCAAAAGAGTTCCTCGTTTCGAGGTAAGATGCGATTACCGGCGGCGGGAGGTGTGCCTGAGGGGCAGGGGTGGGAGCCTGGGCGGCGATGGTGGCGATGGCGGCGAGGACCGTCTCATTGCCATTTAACCCATATTGGGTAATGAGGGCGGCTAGGGACTCAGTAAAACTGGAGTTGGCCATTTTAGGATAAGAAGCTAAAGGTGAGAAAGCAAAGATGAGGACGGGTCCCTGCTCTCGGTAGAACAGGGACTAGATCGCGAGACGTACTACGACACACTATACACGTAATAAAAGAATAACAAGAAAACAAAGGAGACAGTTAAAAAAAAAAAAAAAAAAATTGAAAAATGATAATGAAAATGAAATGAAAAATGAAAATGAAAAGCGGAAGTCAGTCAGACCTCCCTGCCCGAAGACAGGGGGGCAAGAGCTGTAGCAAAAAAGTGACTCACCGGCAGCCTCGACGCTCTTCCGCGTGAGCAGGACAGTGGAGGCGCGTGAGAGCGCGACAGCACTACCGTGCTGTACGGGAGCGCGGACCACCAGGAGGCGACCGTCCGAGAGCGGTGCCGCCGGCGGACTGAGCACTGCGTCGGCGCTGTACAGCGCGAGCGGGACAGCGGGGGGCGCGAGAGCGGGGAGCACTACCGTACAGGAACGAAAGCGCGGACTACCTGGATGCAACCGCTCGGAAGCGATGCCACAGGCGGAATGTTGCTGTACAATATGAAAAACAAAGCAGCCTTTATATACTCCCTGTCTCCATTTTTTATTTCACTAACAAAACATTTTATAGAATATAAATAGGTATTTACCTAATTAAGTATTTACATTTATATTTAGTTAACATTATGTTAAAAAATAAATTCCGAGAAAACTGTACATGGCAGTAATTTTTTTCTTAAAGGTCGTAGCACAAAAATACAATTTTCCAATCTGATTCTTGGGGAATATTGTCAAAGTTTATCGGTAAACTCACATCTTCAGAGATTACTGAGATTTTGTACATTTCGAATTAAAATCCTACAAAACGATTTTTTTTTTCAAATTTAAAATACTAGTTAAGAATTCAGTTAATTTTTAAAGTTATTTAGTGTCTTGCTCTAAACTAGTTTTTTAATATTTTTACCCCATTTTTTTTAACAATCATCTTTCGATTGTCCATAGTAGTAAAATGTACATCACAAGCTAACGCACACATTTACAAATCAAAATGTGTCGCGCATTTTCGGGCTTTCAGGTCGTCTAATACGCTAGTGTATTCTAAATATAGATGGAAATTAACAATCTCCCTAATATTTAAACCATATCAGTCGTCTAGTTGCAAATCCCGCTAAAACGATTCAACAAAATTTTGCAGAAATGATAAAAAACGTTTGAAACAGAAACAACTTTACTTTATTAGACGATTTTCTTTTACTTCCACGGCAATAAAAGATACCTATACAACAAAATGAAAAAAAGCTGCCATTACTACCAAAAACTAGCTAAAAACAGGTTTTGATTTTAAATATGGGGGATTTTGAAACTTACTAATTGTTATGGTGTTATTTGCAACTGAGCTTTGTGAAATAGCGGGATTTGAAACTTATGTCAATCTATGGTGATGGTCGATGTTATGCAACAACAACTGGTCAGTAAGTAAATAAAAATACAGAAGAACAATTTTACTTAATAATGTAATATGATAATAAACTAGTTAGTTGTTCTACATTAGAAATCAGGTAAAGACAAAAAGTTAAATTATACTATTAGGTTGACATCCTCAAAGCCGTCTTCACAAAGGTCGCTTGGTATCTCTGCTGTATTTTCGTCAATATCTCCTTGCTCATAAGACCTTCTGCCTTCCACTGTTTTATAAAACGCTAATGTTTCAATGTCTCTCCATTGCTCTCCATAATGTTTTTTTAATAGATTTGAAACATCGGTGATCTTTGCTTTTTTTGGAATTAACTGGTTTGCTGGAATAACAACTGGAGTCAACATAGTGATGCTTTTATTTTTCTTTGTTATGGGCTTCTTTACATTAATTTCAATTTTATATGACTGTTCTCCTTGCAGCAATAAATTATTTGTTTTGGAACGTGTCAAGAAAAACCTTTTGCACTTTTGGAACTGTACGTGCCAGCTAGTCGTTGGTTTGATAATTGGCGCATAGGCCGATTTCCAATCTCGTACAGCAATCGTATCTAAAACAGTCAATGTACAATATTGAGTTATAAGTTCTTGATATTGTTCAGGTGACGAAATGACTTCACGCTTTTTCAAATCTTTCTCTATTTGAGCAAATACGCGGTCGGGTGGAATAAAGGAGTGTCCTACAACAGGAAAAACTATTTCTATCCTTTTGATGTGTCTGGGTGCTTCTGTTGTCAACCACTTTCCAAGCATGGCTACCATGCCGGAATTTTTATTTTGCCCAGAACAGCCATCTGCTACTATTCTTAAAACTTTGATTTCTTCTTTGATACCTAAATTAGTTAAAAAGTGATGAACTGCTGAAATGATTTCATTACTACCTTTATTGTGTATGGTTTCATTCCAGGTATATGCAAATATGTTTTCCTTGGTCAATTTTGCCTTAGAGCTACCAACTACTATAGTGAAGTTGTAAAAATTGTATTGGCGGCTATAGTAGGCGGACTGATCTGGCACTTTAGGTAGCCCTAAATTTTTTTGACAGTCGAAACTTATTGTTAGAAGATCACTTCTTTGCTCCTGCAAGATCTCATAGAATGCTTTGAACCTCAAACGGTGGACTCTTTTTTCAATTATCAATTTATTTATGATCTCAGTATTTGTTTCTTTTTTAATGTTCTCATCTAACAGAAGACATGTCGAACAAACATCAGACCTAGGTGTGCCAAAACCAATGTTATAGTAACAATTAAATATATTTCTAAAAAAATGCTGTTTTACTTCTAAGCGAGGATGGTCGTTGTTATACATACGCCAAAGTTTTTTTATGTTTAGTTCAGGGGACAAATACAATCTTTTTAAATTTTTTGATCTGCAGTAGTGGCTTTCATTTGCTTTTAATGACTCTATAAAGGCTTGTACCGCTTTTCTTTTCTCTTCAAACCTCTGACTTTTTCGGTCCCCACCCCTACGCTCTTTTGCCATCTCCTCCTTTTCATAAAATCTTCGCATCACTCCCTGTATACGGTCTTTGGTTACACACAATACCTTAGTAAATGTTTTTTGACAAACAGGGATCATTTTGCCGCTCTTGTTACGAATGAAATATTTTAACGAATGATTTCGCTTGCTACCAACTTTTGTAGTTTTAGATGTTGTGATAGTACAGTGTTTTATTATAAAATTATCCTGCAAAATTTTTGTCGGATGTTTGTAAAATGATTGGTGGAATTTTCTTATTTCTGTGCATGCTAAAGTAGCGCACTGAAATGCCTTGCGACTGTGTCCACATGATGGGAATGCTGGAAGCGTATTTGGCTTGTATCTACAACAAAAATAAATCTCATTTGAATTTTCACTGTTAGTACAAATTTTATCATCAGTAGAAAACAATAGTAATACTTGTTTTATAAAACACTAGCTGACCAAGAACTTTGCACCACTTGACGTACCTACACTACCTCCCTACCCTACCCTACCATACCCTATCTATGTCCTTTTACAGGTCATGGTCTACCTGTGTGCCAAAATTCGTCCAATTCCATGCATCGGTAACGAGCAAACAATCAAATCAAAATTCATTTTTCTGTACCTACATAAGCATACTTATTATTAGTATATTATATAATATCAGTATTACGTTTTTGAACAGGCTTTTTGTAGTTAAGTCGAGTAACTTATCATATAACCTTATGATTTCTCGAAAATAAAGCAGTATTTTTATATCGCTTGTAACAATCATTAATGTAAATGCCGTCTATTTCATACGAGTAGGTATAATTACACACAACACATTCGTATTAAATCAGCAGACTGTTAAGGGATAATGTAAACAACAATGTATTATTTTAGGGAAATTTATATTAGTTAGGTACTCAGTTTAGCAAGAAAAAAAAATTAAAATTTTAATTTTGGCGCCAAAGCATGTTGAACAATTTTCATGGTTCTGTTTTGCTTAACAACTTTCCAAATGGCAGTTGACTGTTTAGTGGAAGAAAGAAACTCACCTTTTTTCACGCAATACTTCACGTTTCCACTTTGATTTATTGACTAATCTCTTGCGTGCTTTACTGGGCTCCGATTTTTTTATAAACTGTTGTAAATTCTCCATTTTTTCCACACAAAAACAATAAAAAACCACAGCAACAACACACGCAGGTAACGGAATCGGCCATACTAATTTACTGTGTCACGTGATCTAATATTGGACTGCCATTGGTTGGATTTGTTATGGAGGAATTTGAAACTCACACACTTTGTTTTAGAGTACTTTGCACCGAACACTATTATTAAAATGTATTTTGCACCCGCTTATGGCGGAGTTTGATAGGAAATAAATTTATGAATTTGTACTACTCTAAGAGTACTTTCAAATGTCATACTACACTAAAATTTTCAAAAAAAGTGTTTTAGCGGGATTTGAAACTAGACGACTCAATTATCAAGAGTGGTTATTGTGGAGCATTTGGAATCGATTATTATGGTAGGTGAAGGAAAACGTCGTGAGATAACCTGCGTGTGTGAAAAATTAAAAGAAAATATTTCTAAGAAAATAGAGGTGGCCAAGCAGTAGGATGTACTCGTATGTAGGCTGTACTTATATTTATTTTTATGTTTTTTTAGAATCGATTCCAAATGCTCCACAATAACTATTCTTGATATGGTATGTGTATGTACAGCGATCTTTTTCAACATTTTGTGTATGTACAGCGATCTTTTTTAACATGCCCCAACCCATCCCCCAGTGTGTATCTTTTTCGATACTCTGGCCTAGGAAAATAGATTAATTTCTTATCTTTTTCCTAGGTTATGTGCCATGAGTATTTAATACTCAAAGGCCATGTGTGCAAAAAAGATACACATCATTAATACGTTATTGTTTCATATAATGCTAAGAAGAAAAAGGGAAAAAAGGAGCAAATGGGAAGAAACATAAGGGAAATTATAGTTTATATTTTTTCTTAAATTTCTTGTCATTTGTTTCAGAGATTAGTGTAAAAAGTTAGTGAAGTGAATAACAGATGAAAGAGACTTTATAATATTGTGACAATGAATTATAGCAGTGACGATTCAGAACAGGATCCTGATTTCTGTCCTAGTAACGAAGATGATCAAGATACCAGTGAGTAGGATACTGACGATGAAGCTTGGGATTCACCTTGGGGAGAATGTCGTCCTTTTCAGAAGTTAATTTACCTCTATTGCCAAATATACAGAGATGAAGAACTCCACGATGGGTAACAAAACCATCGGACGTTGCTGCTAATGTTCCTCGTACTTCTGTAGCCACGTCATCAGATATATCAGAAATAGAATGGGTAAAACAAAAATTAGAAATCATAGAATTGGAAATGCTATATTAGAGTACATCTATTGGTTCTGTATCAGCATAGGTATGCCTTTCTAAATGAAAGATATAATATAATATTCTAGCATCTTTGCAAATGCAAACCCTGTTGAATACTCTGATCTTTTACTGACAAGAGATTTAAGAACTAATTGCTGACCAAACCTTTGAAACTCAGACCATATTAAAAGACGACAACGTGGCTCCTCAAGCTCGAACTCACGCTTGATTTATCAAAAAATTTACACCACAGGACAAAAACATTTGAGTGGATAATTCTCCTATCCCTTATCGAGGCAGACTGATATTTCGACAATATATATCAAATAAAGCAGCTAAATATGGTATTAAGATATTCAAACTGCATTGAAAAAGGTTATACCTGGAACCTTGTGGTATACTGTGAAAAATCAAAGGAAAAAAGTTGGATGTTTCTGAGAAAACGGTTATGACTTTTACATAAGGTCTTCTAGAGGAAAAACGGTTTACACTGATAATTATTACATATATATATTCTAGACATTGTTTTTTTTGTCTATATTTGTAGCTTTTTTATAAATCAAATTAATATAATAAATAAACTAAAATATTACTCACAGAATAAATTATAATAATTGGTTATATATCTAACCATTTATTTTTAGTACTTATATATACTTATATATATATATATATATATATATATATATATAAGATTTTCTCCCTCGGCTGTGTACAGTTATTTATAGAACATGATAAAAACTGGCCTAAGATGCTTAGTAAACAGGATTACAGATTCATTGGAATCTTGGCATAAAATTATTAGACAAACATCCATTAGTAAATTTTTTTAATGCTAGCAAAAGAACGTCCAGTACTTCGCTAACACATTTGTTGTATCATGGAAACGATTGCAAATGTACATTAAAAGGGATATCCGGAATATCAAATTACGTCTACTTAAAAATGAAATTAGTGTTGATAGTTGGACACATTGCAGAATTTATAATTTACGTAATAATATTACTTGGTGGTGGAAGTTTAATTTGATTTAAATGAAAAATGTGTAACCACTATACAAACGCGACGACGTAGCTTTGAAACTAATAATTTTAAATAAACATATATCTATCTCACTTACACAAGTTTCGAAAACAATATCGTCGCTAAGATTAGATAAAGATAGACACACAAACATGCAATGGCGAGTTGGTGTGGCTTACTATATGAAATTTTATCTGAAATACGCAATAAAAATGAGTTTTTTAAGCTACAGTTAATTGTTTTTATACTGAAAAAGTATATTTTATTTTAAAATCTTTATTGCGTCCCCTAAGAAAAAAAGGATACAAAGCTTATCAGATGAATAGAAGTAAACATAATGATGATATAAAATATATTTTTATAAGTATTTTTATTGTACTAATAAATCAAAAAATATAAAATAGGTAATAAAATATATTTAATATAAAATTTATTTGAAATTATAATTAATATAAAATTACTAATAAAAAATAAGTAGGTAATAAAATATATTTAATAGATAATTCATGAAAAAACTAAAATAAGAATAATTAATTATTTTGTATAAAAGTTAAAACGTAGTTTTTATTATAATTTCCAAAATATTTAAAATCAGAGGTAACAAATTAACTTACTCCATTAATTATATAGTCTCCCATTAATGTAGGATAATCACAAATCGGAAAAGGGGCAACATTGAACCTAAATGGCAATATTCGATAATTTTATTTAATTATTTGAGGTTTTATACGTTTATATGAAAACAAGAACTAAAAATTATGTGTTGAAAGTGATTCCGCTTGATTTATTACGTTTTTGTGACCGTGAATAGCATTCGTTCACTATGCATTTACCCATTTTTTGTTGCGGCTCAGCTCTGTCGGCGTCACATTGAACTGACCTGACGTTACTGACGTTAGCTAGGCATATGGCTGTGCCCATATGTGCAGTGGCAACGCTTTGGCGCGGTTATATATAAATCAATGGCTCCAGGTATGCAGTAATTACTTATCTGTTGCCCTTTTAAACAGTTATTTAATAAGTTAAGTTTTTGCCTATGTCATCGCTATACATAATAACATTATTGTTTTCATTATGTGAATTACTTTTTTAAATTTATTTGCTTTGTTATTGTACTGTTATAGAGCGTAGGTGAAGAAAATGAATTATTACTGCTTGTCATATTTTTAACACACATTGTCAACGGTAGTCGGATGCCGTGACCCTGAAACTTTAAATGAAGCCATTATTGGTTACGCTGTATCTTTTTATTTGTTCTTCCGACTCTTTACCCCAAGAACAGTTAGCTATATATATATATATATATATATATATATATATATATACAATTAAATAATTTTAATCAATTAGTAGCTACAAAATAAATGTGTTATATACATAACCATTTATTTTATATATATACAAATATAGACAAAAAACAATGTCCAGAATATATATATATATATATATATATATATATATATATATATATATATATATATATATATATATATATATATATATATATATTATTTTTCTACCGATTTTCTCCCTCGGCTGTGTACAGTTATTTATAGAACATGATAAAAACTGGCCTAAGATGCTTAGTAAACAGGATTACAGATTCATTGGAATCTTGGCATAAAATTATTAGACAAACATCCATTAGTAAATTTTTTTTAATGCTAGCAAAAGAACGTCCAGTACTTCGCTAACACATTTGTTGTATCATGGAAACGATTGCAAATGTACATTAAAAGGGATATCCGGAATATCAAATTACGTCTACTTAAAAATGAAATTGGTGTTGATAGTTGGACACATTGCAGAATTTATAATTTACGTAATAATATTACTTAAAACGTGGAAGTTTAATTTGATTTAAATGCAATACGTAATGCGTGGACTTTAATAGCCTGTAACGGTAACGGTCACAAATCTATAATAATTTGTTTTTTGATACATTTTATGGTTATTAAAATTAATTAGTATAAAAGTAATAGAAGTGTATGTGTTGAACTGTTCTTGGGGTAAAGAGTCGGAAGAACAAATAAAAAGATACAGCGTAGCCAATAATGGCTTCACTTAAAGTTTCAGGGTCACGGCATCCGACTACCGTTGACAATGTGTGCTAATAATATGACAAGCAGTAATAATTCATTTTCTTCACCTACGCTCTATAACAGTACAATAACAAAGCAAATAAATTTAAAAAGTAATTCACATAATGAAAACAATAATGTTATTATGTATAGTGATGACATAGGCAAAAACTTAACTTATTAAATAACTGTTTAAAAGGGCAACAGATAAATAATTACTGCATACCTGGAGCCATTGATTTATATATAACCGCGCCAAAGCGTTGCCACTGCACATATGGCCACAGCCATATGCCTAGCTAACGTCAGTAACGTCAGGTCAGTTCAATGTGACGCCGACAGAGTTGAGCCGCAACAAAAAATGGGTAAATGCATAGTGAACGAATGCTATTCACGGTCACAAAAACGTAATAAATCAAGCGGAATCACTTTCAACACATAGTTTTTAGTTCTTCTTTTCATATAAACGTATAAAACCTCAAATAATTAAATAAAATTATCCAATATTGCCATTTAGGTTCAATGTTGCCCCTTTTTCCGATTTGTGATTATCCTACATTAATGGGAGACTATATAATTAATGGAGTAAGTTAATTTGTTACCTCTGATTTTAAATATTTTGGAAATTATAATAAAAACTACGTTTTAACTTTTATACAA